GATTTGGAGAAAAGGGGATTCTGTCTCTGTCTGCAGAATTAATTGACCCTAGTTACAGGGCTTTTCCCCATGCTTTTTTTGTGTGAAAGTTGGTTTTGAAAAGGCTGTCACCTGTTTTAATTTGATATCAAAAAAATCTGTTATGATGTTTAAGTCAGCCCAGGGAACTTGATATACCTAGGTTTTTTGTTTTCTTTTGTTTTTTTTAAATGCTGTGATCTAAATAATTCAATAATAAGTACAAAGGGTACTCAATCTCTAAGTCAATGAAAAATGAGATTTAAGTTCCTTATACTGTTTAATTTGGGAACCCAGGCATTATATTAGCATTAAATAGTTGTTTTCAAGTGTAATATCATACATTTTAAACTTACCCTTGTGAGCTCTAAGGTTAAGCACAGAATTGTGTAGGCTTCTCTCCCCTCCCCTCCCCCCGGTAAAAATGTAATCCCAAAAATCTTTCTTTTTTTCCTACCATTTTGTGGTACAGAACAATATTAATTTTTGAGCAGTAAAACACTACTAGGAGAAAATACTTAGTTTATGGGTCAGTAAGGTCTAGCTTGAAGGATTACATTAATCAAGTTAATTCTCTTTTGAGAAAATAAAACTAATTCTTTCCTCAGTTCTGTAATCTTTATATGACACACTATTTCAGTAAAATTGTGGCCAGTAACAGGGCCAATCCCTTCCAATACGCACTTCTTTGAACCTCCTAATTTTATGTTAGAGGCATCTTCAAATAATTTGTCAGTCGCATGTAAATCTTTCAAAAATCCTCCACGTAACAAGGTTGGAAATGTTGGGTCCTCGATAGAAAATTACTGTTTAACAGAGGATTAGACAGAACTTTCATGACTTGTGAAGGTTGTGATTATTAGCAGATTGTTAAGAATCCTAATCTTATTTTTGCAAGACTTGATGCTTTTAAAAAGTATTGCAAATGTGCTACAAAATGGTAGTATTTTCATTAGTGAAATACTCCATTACGCTTGACTCGGACTTATCCAGTCTTGCATGTTACTCCTGCTTTTTTAATGACGCTTATCCTTTATTAAGTGTTCCCGATTCATTTTTACCACTGTTGTTTAATGCTGTTTTAGAGACCTTTGTATTAAAATATACCTCCTGTGGCCTATTGCTTTGTTGATTTAAAGCACTTACTCCCTAATCTGCAGTAACTTTTGTGTGATAAAAATAGCAGGAGTTTATTTACTACTTCTTAGTGTCATAATTTGGCTAATAAAGGAGAGAACTTTTCTCATACTGGGTTCGTCAGAATTACATATTAATAGCTTTTGGTTAGCACAGAAGAAAAAGCATTCTTCACCCTTTATGGTCCTATTTATGTAGTACAGTTACAGTAACATGTAGGCTTTAAATCAAGATTTGAGCCGTTGTAATGTAAAAGTAGGAGTTTGATATTTATAGTTTATATTGGGGAAAATGACGGAACTGACAACTCCTCTTGAAGTTGAAGGCGGTATTTACAATCAAGCTGGCTTACAGTTTTTTCTCCCCCCCCCCCCCCCCCCTC